GTAGAAGCTGCTGCATTGCAATAAGAATGTCTGTGGCATTTAAATTATCCACTGATTATGCCTCATTTACCAGGTTGGTGGCAACTTTTACAGATTACCAGGACTTCTGTGAAACTGGGGTAGCATGAAGGACCCTTCATTTTGATTCTTGCAATCATGCTAGAAAGATTTCAGAGACATCACTCATAGTAACAGGCGTGAGTTTATTAGAGGGGCTAATGTTTTAGTCAGCTTTTGTGTTGCTGTGACCAAAAGACCCCATGAGAACAACGTAGGGATGGAAAGTTTATTTGGGGCTCACGGTTTCAAAAGTCACAGTTCATATACAGCTGACTCCATAGCTCAGGCCTGAAGTGATACAGAACATCATCATGCAAGGACATGGTGAAGAAAAGTAGCTCAGGACATGGCAATAAGAAGCTGAGAGGGTTCTGCTTACCAGGCACAAAATATAAACCCCAAAGGCACACTCCCAGTGACCCACTGCCTGCCACTGACCACCCGCCTATAGGTACCACCCAGCTAATCCACATCAGTGGGCTCACACACTGATGAGGATAGTGACCCAATCGCTTACCTCTAAACTTTCTTGCATTGTTTTACCTGTGAATTTTTTGGTGACACCTCATATCGAAACCATATCAGATAAGAAAGGAAAAATAAAACACTGTCAAAGGACAGTGGGTCGGCTCAGACAGAAGAATGATACACCCCTCTTGCCTTCCAGTTCTATTGGGGGCCCCCGGGAATTTTCCAGAGTCTAGTTCAAGTCCACTTCTGATTTCTGACTCACAGCGTAGGGACTACAGAGACTGCCTCAAAGTCATTGTGTGGGGATCACAGAGTTAGAGATTTTAAGGAAATTGCACATCCCTGCTTTTGCCTCAATTTTCTGCCCTCTTAATTGGTTTATTATTCTTTGAATAACCCCCATCAAGATTTCTTTGTGAAAGTTTTGATGCTTTCATAGCAAGAGAGATTCAGGGTTGGGAGAAGTTTGATAATAAGGGAGGGTCTAGGCCACCTGGTAGGGCACGACATGATCTTGAAACAATAGTTGTTTTTTTTTGTTTGTTTTTTTAAGTCATAACTACGGCTTGGGGAGGTTTCAATATACCCAGCCCCCATCTTCCAAGTGCTTATTTGTCAGATAAGGCTCCCGGCGGTTTTCAGTCACCCTTCACTACCTTCCCTGCTCACCCATTAATGACTGACTAGCTACCTAAGGGCAACTGTCAAGGTGATAGCCCCCACTGCTGGGCCAGGTCACTAGTGTGATGAAGAGCAATAGGAACTTTCTCAAAGGCAATGGGTTAAGTTTCAATTTATCTATAATCCAACTAAAAAAGTGGTGGCACAGAACTTACCTTTGTTTTGCTTGGCTGAGGGTCTTACTAAACAGACAGGATTGACAGATAGTAAAACAGAGGCAGGAAGTTAAGGCAAGGGACCCCCCCCCCCCCCAAAAAAAAAGGCTTCTCTAAATGTACTGGCTACTCCATGAAGTTAATCTGTACAAACTTGCCAAACATTCCAGTCAACTCTTTTGTCCCAGGGAGACAGGGAGAGGGAAAGAAGACTGACCTGAATGGAAGCTACAAACTCAACAACTAGAGGGGCACAGCCAATTAGAAGGTCACAGGGCCAACCAGTAGTCTTGGCGATTTTCCTATTCTTAATTAGCATAGATGTTGACCAATAGCCTTTGCAGCACTTTTCCTACATCTGATTAGCCTAGTTTTTTTTTTTTTTTTTTTGTATCAGGAATTGAATCCGAGGGAACTTAACTACTGAGCCACATCCTCAACCCTTTTATGGATTTTATTTAGAGACAGGGTCTTGCTGAGTTGTTTAGGGTTTCACTAAGTTGCTAAGGCTGGCTTTGAACTTACGGTTCTCTTGCCTCAGCCTCTCAAGCTGCTGGGATTATGATTAGCCTAGATATTGATTGGTGTCCATACCCAGTAGAAATATAAGCCCCTAGACTAGTATACTTAACCCATTATCAGGTCCTCTCTTGCCTGGTAAGAGCTCTGTTTCTTTGGTTCTCACTCAAGTAAATTCTGCTTTTTCACTCTCATTCTCCATTTTCCATGGGTTTCATTCTTGAATTTGCACAAGGCCCCAGAAAGAAGTCACGGGCAGGCAGCTGGGTCCTGCCGCTACACAAAATGGGCACAACCTACTGAGGAGAGCTGCAACCCAGTTAGATCCCTCTCACTGATGCTGAAGAATCTGATCCTGCCTCCTGAGACCACTGCTAATATCAGTGGGCACTCCTCTGTGAATTGCTGCCTCTGCAGCAATTTCAGTTGCCTGAAACCCTTCAGTGAAACCCTTCAGTGAACACAGCAGCAGAGGCAGAGAATCTGGTTCCTCTCTAACTCCAGTTTCATTACCAGGACTAGGATAGCTTCCCAGGTAGACTTTGGTGAATACATTTGAGGGCAAAAGCATTGGTTGTAGAAGTTTCAGTTGAGAGATTAGAGTTGGGACGAGCAGCAGATGGATCAAAAAGCTGGGAAGGAAGGAGTTGTAAAGAAAATACATTGGGGAATAATGACTCTTAAAAACTCAGGTGTGTACCAGAAATCCATACACACATCTAAGACTGAAAAATCCATATATAAATCCAGGTCTGAGAGCATCCTAATATTCCACTTCCAGATGACCTTCAGGCTCTACCCAGTATCAAGTCAAAGCCAAAGCAGAGTTGTAAATAGCCCCAGTGTTGAAGCTGTGCCCCATGCAGAATCACATGTCCATTGGTGAATGAATAGATAATGGACTGCAGCACAGGGGAACATCAAGCAGTGATAAAGAATGAATTATTCCTTACAGTTAAAAAGCCTGGACATAACACAACAACAGATAGAGGAGGATTCTGAGCAAAAGAAGACAAGTGCCCAAGGACCTCAGGAGAACAGCACAGTAAGCTCACTGGGTCTTTTCATTGCTTTTTGTACATCCTGGACAGAGATCTATCAGGCTAGAACCAAGAGTAGACATAGACCAAAAAGCTTTGAGAAAATCTGCCTAGCTGAACTCCAGGATGAATGACAGTGTGTCAGTCCGTCGTCATAGAATGCAGTCAATTTGTATCTCTGAAATACTGCCAGTCTGTTTAGGATTATTTGCATGAATTTTTTGGTTCCTAGAGTTAAAATTCATAATCACAGTAATTCAGGGAGTCCTCTTACGGTAGGTGGGCCTTTCTACCTCTGGAAGAGAAGCGTGCTCTCCATTCCTCTGCCACCACACAGGTAATGAGAGCATAGGCAACTACTCTTGGGTGGAAATTCTGTCATTTTTCTCTTAGTCACCAGCACATCACAATAGTTTAAGTCCAAAATTCTGGTTAATATCAAATGTTACATTTCAGGGGATATCAGAACATTTTTTTAGAATTGGAGATCAATTAAGGCCAGAGATATGAAAGAGCTGGATCCTATTTCCTTGCTGTGATTTGGTTTTCATACTTCAGTCTTGTAAGAGAAGCTATATTAAAGGTTTCTTTGCTCAATTGCCATAAGCATAAGTGGCACTTCAGATTAAATTGTTTATAGCTTTCAATATCTCCTTTTACCATTTCATGAAACCATAGTGAACTTGACATCTTTTCTTTGTGGGAGGGCTACTTGACATTTCCATAGGCACAGAGAATTATGTCCCAGAATGTGAAATACAAGTTAAGTGGTTCCCAAAGGCAGCTGACAACATAGAAATGAACTCATCATGATAAATTTATTTAGCACACAATTATGGCATAAGCATTGAAAGTGAAAACTTTCATTTTAAACCCTTGCTAAAATGCAGCAATACCAGTCTACTGCAAATGTCAACATCTCCCTGAGAGCACTGATCCTGATTCCCAGAAGCCAAAGATAGAATACTAAAAGAAAACCTGGAAATGCAGGTTGAAGTGGAGTAATTTTTTCCTTCTCTACATTTCAAGAAATAATAAATTAAAATGAAGTTCTTTTCAAAGTATGTGGTCATAAGTGATTTCCCCCCTTATGGAGTTAATATTATGTAAAACAAATAAGAAGGTCACAATAGGCAAATAAAATTTCCCTAGGATCCCACAAGAGACTTGGACTGCCATTGCCAAGGTTCTTTCCTCTTGGGTCTTGGCAGAGGTGTAGGGAAATTCTCGATGCTCTATAAAGCCTTCAGAACCCACAGATCTCACAACGGGTGTGCCTAAGAGTACGGCAGCACTGCCCAGGAAGGTGGTGGGTGCTTGGGCCCCAGGGTGCTGGAAGGGGCAGCCCACTGCCAGGCTGGGCACAGGCATGGTCTCAGTGGCCACGGCTGTCGTCTCCCCTGGTGCTGGCCATCAGTGTGACAGCAGTGTGGTAATCTGGGCCCATTCGCTACTTCCAGGTGCAGGCAATGGGTTCCTCACATCTATTCAATACCTGAATCATGTTTTTCTACTTCTTCCCACTTTAGAATCAGTGAAGAATTTGTCTTCACATTCGACCCGACTAGAGGCTGCTGAGCTGAGGTAAGTGTTCCCTCCGAGAGCATCCTCATGGGCAGCTCTGTGTCAGACTCCTATGGCACAGTGATATTTATCTCCAAATGCTCCATGCCTCTTCTTTCTATCCACTCTCAATTCCCAGCAATCAGTTTGGATGGTATTCTCCTTTTCTGAAATCTAAGTGCAGTCAGCTCTGCAGCAAGTGGGTGAATAGATTCTTCCTACCACTTCTCAGAGATATCCCATGGTGTTGGACCAAAAATAAGCCCACGATCTGATCCCAGTCTTTAGGTCCCTACCATGCTCCCTGATATCCCTGTGCTGCAGACTCTACAACCTCCTGGCCCTTTATTTATGACAGTGATTACAAATCTGCTGCTGTCTTGGCAAGGAATGAAGGCTATGTGTCTACCACTTTTGAATTACTTGGAAACTACCTTCATAGAGAATCCAGACAAAATTAGAGGAAACAGTCTATGTAGCTGGCACGTGAGTGGAGTGAAGCTAGATGTTTGATTCTAAATCACTGGTAAAATCTGCTACGAAGGGTAGCCTGTTTGAATATGCTGTAGTAGAGTAAAACTGTCACGGGTAAAAGGGTCCATAGGTTCCATACGAAAATAATACACTTAAATAGCATCATGCCTCCCACCAGTGCATCATAATTAGTGCCTATCAGGCTTTATTTAGTTCATGAGAAATAAGGAACTATCTCCCTCTCTTTCTCTTTTGCTTCCTCTAGGAACACAAAGTTACTTGTGTGAACAGGTCTGGTTAAATATATTCATTTTTGTTTCTTTATCAAACATCACGAGCTGGAATAATGTTCTTTCTTCTCTTTGTGTGCATCTTTAAGTGTCTGCCATTAAGTGTCTTCCAACTCTTCTACCAATCTCCGGTGGAGTGTCATCCAAACCCACCCTCTCACATCAAACCCAGGGTGCATTGTGAGGTCACTATCGTGCTCCTGACAAACATCAGCAATCACTTCTCGTCCTTAGTAGAAGATGGCCCCGGACCCCTTGCTGCTGTGTGTGTAGGGCCCCCTGATCTGGCCCTTGACAAGCTTTCCTCCCTGCCCCTTCCTGTTCATTCATCAGTTTGCAGCTCACACAGCATTAGGCCATGTGTAGGCGTTGCTTGCCTGAGTGTGCCAGGCTGTTTTGGAGCTCTGTGCCTGTTCCCACTCTGATTCATATGCCCAGAATGCCTCTTCTTGCTTATTTATACCTTAGACCTTATCCCAGGATTATCTCATCTCTAGTGCATTTACCAAACAGTTCGAGATGTGTTCATTTCCGCTTGGTACATCTGATTAAATACATTCTTCTGTCGTATGGTTTTCTTTTTTTAATCTTTAATGTTCTGCTCCTAGAATGGAATTTTGGTGGATGAGAGAACATCTCCTAAAGTATTACATTTTATATTTAAGTGCAAAAAAGTGGTGGTCCAATCTGATTTTCCTCATTGACATGTGAGTCACCCGGGTGGTTAAGGGTGTGCCTTTGTGTAATTCCAAGTTTATCACTCTCTATCTTGGAAGTGTGACTTCATGTGTCTGTGAAATGAGAATGATTACATTTAATTCACCTTATATTGTGGATGAAATGGGATATTGTTTGAAAATCAAACTTCCTGGCACCTGGTAAATGTTCAATAAATGATTATCGGAGGATATTGTAGACTGTTAAAACTAATCAAAACACAGCCCTACCAAATTCTTGTCCATGGCCATTTCCTGAACTATGAGAAAAATATCCATAAAAATCCTGTTTCCCTGTCTTAGAAAATGGCAAAACTTCTAAGTAATAAGCCATGTTCTTGAGACTTCCCCTGGCTTCTTTCTCTCCCCCACTCCCACACGCAGACCATCAATTACTGTTAAAGTCTTCGCGTCTAAAACGCACCTAATTCTATCTACTTCTCTGCAACCACCGCAGTCAAGGTCACTGTTGACTCCTCTCAAGCAGGCTCACTCTTGGCTCTGGGAAGTGCACCTTGAATGACGGCTGCCTTTCCTTAATGAAAGTCATTTCGTGCTTCACTCACCTTCTGACCCTTGTTTGTGTCCTCTTACATTTAGGACACTTATTTAGAGCCTTTATTATGACCTGGAGGACCTTGCCCATTCTGGCCCTGCCTACGTTTCCCACCTCTTCCTGGCTCCGTTTCCACTCACCACGGAACAGCAATGGCCTCATTTACTTCACTCTGCAAAGCACTGAGTCCTGAAATCCTCCTCTGCCCCAAAGTCCACATTCCAGATCACACTCCCATTATTATCTGTTTTTTTTTTTAACCTTCATAGAAAATGTTTCAGGTTTATTTATTCATTTATATATCTGATTCTTAAAAAAAAAAAAAAAAAAAAACCTCCACGCAGAGACACCCATTCTCACCCCCAAGAACCCAAAGCTCCTGATAGCAAGGCTCACGCCTGCCTTGCTCACCACTCTGCTGGGCTCATGGTAGTTACCCTCCTCCCTCCCATTGTCCTGACTCACCTTCTTTCCTGCTTTATCTAATATGAGCCCCTTCCATGCTGATTATAATTTATAGTTTATGTGAAATGTCATTTGCATGATCTCATTTGTATTTTGATTCACAGAAATATCAGCTGAATTCACTTTAATATTCACATTTGTGAAAGAGGAAACTGGGTCTCAGGGTAAGATTTCAGGGTCACATTGCAGTACCTGGGACAGACCTGGGACTAGAATGAGGTCATGTTTATTTCATACTGCAGAGCCCAACTCCTCCCATCTCACCTTCTCACATGCTTCACAGACGATGACAGCTACTCTCCATCTCCAGCAATGCTAGGAAAAGAAATAGTATGTGAAGGATAAATGAGTTGTCGGGAAGAACTTCCAGAGTTCAGAGCAGGTGGTGGGACAGGAAGGCTGGTGTATCTCTTGAGACTGGCAGTTGTCACATGGAGCACCGAGGTTTGATAGTCACTTGGGTGGTGGTTGTGAAGATAGCCTTGCATTTTAGCTAGAGCTTGGATTTAGACTTAAGACTTGAACACAATTCGTGTCCTGCTATCAGTGGGAACTTGGTAAGTTACTTAATGCCTACCCAAGACACAGTTTCTCATTATTTCTTATTCATCATTAAAATGGATACAACAAAACATGTGAGATTATGTAGTAATTAAATTATGTTTGCATAATGTATCCAGTTCATGAGCTAACCTAGAACATGCTATTAATAAATAACATTGTTGATAGTCAGAGAAGGCAAGGCTAAAGACTCTAACTGAATCATGGACTCTGACCAAATGACGCTTTCCCCCAGGAGAGCTAAGCCCTGTGTCCTCAATATGGAGGTGCAGAACCAGACCCGGGTCACCAAGTTCATTCTGGTGGGGTTCCCCGGGAGCCTGAGCATGCGCACAGCAGTGTTCCTGATGTTCCTTGTGGCCTATATTCTGACAGTGACTGAAAATGTGATCATTATTCTGTTGGTGCAACAGAACCGGCCACTGCACAAGCCTATGTACTTCTTTCTGGCCAACCTGTCCTTCCTGGAGACCTGGTACATCTCTGTGACTGTGCCCAAGTTGCTGTTTAGTTTTTGGTCTATGAGCAACAGCATCTCCTTCACGCACTGTATGATACAGCTTTACTTCTTCATTGCGCTCATGTGCACAGAGTGTGTTCTCCTGGCTGCCATGGCCTACGACCGGTACGTGGCCATCTGCCGCCCACTCCACTACCCCACCATCATGAGTCACGGGCTCTGTTTCCGATTGGCTCTGGGTTCCTGGGCCATCGGCTTTGGCATCTCTTTGGCAAAGATCTACTTCATCTCCCGCCTCAGTTTCTGTGGCCCCAATGTCATCAATCACTTTTTCTGTGACATCTCACCAGTGCTGAACCTCTCCTGCACAGACATGTCCATAGCTGAGTTGGTGGACTTCGTCTTGGCCCTGGTCATCTTCCTCTTCCCACTCTCCATCACTGTCCTGTCCTACGGATGCATTCTGGCCACTGTTGTACGCATGCCCACGGGAAAGCAGAAAGCCTTCTCCACGTGTGCTTCCCACCTTGTGGTGGTCACCATCTTCTATTCTGCCACCATCTTCATGTATGCCAGGCCCCGAGCCATCCATGCCTTCAACATGAACAAAATCATTTCCATCTTCTACGCCATCGTCACCCCCGCTCTAAACCCTTTCATTTATTGCCTAAGAAATCGAGAGGTGAAAGAAGCTCTGAAGAAACTCATCTATGGCCAAGCCACTGGATCTGACTAGTTTATTAGGATTGATCAGAAAAAAAGGAAGAGAGATTGCCTGCCCTGTCTGCGGACATCCTTCCCCTTTTAGTGCCTCAGCTGGACATCCACTGGGCAAGCCTGCCATCCCTGTGCCCTCAGCAATCCCAGCCCGGGGTCACCTCTGCACATGGGCTCTGTGTTCTGTGGGGAGACACACCATGTAGAGAGCCTGGGGAAAAGAACCGCCTTTGCCTGTGACCCAAGTGGAGTTTCTAAGATTGTGAGTAAATCAATAGCTGAGTTAAGTGAGGTGAGGGATGGTGGAGTCAGATGTTTCTGGAATGAGCAAACATTAAGAGCTCTGAGGTCAACAGATCTGGTGGTGGCTTCCTTTCCCACCTTCCTGACTGACAGGGAACCACTCCCTCGCCAGTCCCATCTCCAGGTGCAGGGAGTAAATCATGGCCGAGGGACTAGAGGCTGCTCTTTGAGTCTCTCTAAGACTTTTGCCAACACCTACTCACCTGTCTGAAATCCCTTCCTACTTCAGATAGAGGGCTTCTTTCATCTGTGAGTGATCATACCTTCTACAGATACACTTGGTCTTATATAATTCATATGGTTGCCTTGGTTGAATTTTATATCTCCCTGTAAGATGTTTGACTAACAATGTTCAGCTGTATCCTCTAACAGATGAGCATAAAATAGATGATAAATAACTGTCATTAAATATATTAATTGCTGGATAAATTTGCTCTCATTGTTTCTCTCTCTCTCTCTCTCTCTCTCTCTCTCTCTCT